CATGCAGATCTTCTTAATTCACAGGCTTCGAGTAACAAGAGATCATCACTGCACTTCCTGTAAAACTCCCATATATTTGATAAACACTTGGTCTTTGATGGGCTGATCAGAAATTCCACTCTCATAAAGAAGGTAAGTAACATAAAGAACTCATTGAATTATATACTGGGCACTACTGTGTCTGCATGTATGTTGAAAGATGAGGGGTAGTGTGTATTGATTTCTGTGTGTGTCTTTAGATTTGATATTTGGATGTGAAGGCTAATTAACTAACGTGGTCTCTTTTCAAGTGTAGATACAAAGACTGCACATAGTTTTTCGAGAAAACCAATCCGATGGCGACATACTTTCATGGGAATCCTGATTTCCAAGCAGCTGCAGCATCAGCAGAAGGTCTCCAAACTCTTGTTCTTATGAACCCTACTTATGTCCAATATTCCAACAACCCTCCACCACCACCTTCCAACAACTTTGTATTCCTCAACGCCGCTGCATCTGCTGCTGCTTCCAACAGCCTCTCTCCTCCACCCCACCTCTCGGGCCACGCGCCACCCAACGCCCAACAATTCGTTGGCATCCCTTTGGACCCTAACTCCCATGACGCTTCCAATTTGCATGGATTTATTCCGCGTATCCATTACAATCTTTACAATCCAATTGACCCTCCACCGACCGCGCGTGACACACCACGCGCTCAGCAAGGTCTGTCTTTGAGCCTCTCCTCACAAAAGCAAGGCTGTTTTGGATCGCAGGCTCAAACTGTGTCTGGTGAAGATATAAGGGTGTCCGGTGGGTCGGTGTCATCAGGCTCGGGTGTGACAAATGGGGTTCTGGGTATGCAAGGGGTGTTGCTGAGCTCAAAGTACTTGAAGGCTGCTCAAGAGCTACTTGATGAGGTTGTTAGCGTGAATAATAATGATATTAAGAGTGAATTGTCAAAGAAGAGTAATGGGATTGGTAGTAACACTAGCAACAAAGTGGTTGGAGAATCATTAGCCGGAGAAGGGTCTGGTGGAGGAGATGTAAGTGGGAAGCGTGGACCGGAGCTTTCCACTGCCGAGAGGCAGGAAATTCAGATGAAGAAGGCTAAATTTATCAGCTTGCTTGATGAGGTACGCAGTTTATTACGTGTTGTTTTCAATTGGTGTGTTAATAATTTGTGTTGGCTAGGTTTTGATGAATTGGTTTTGAAAATGAAGTTTTGTTAAACAAACTGATGACAGTTTCTTGGAATGTTCTTGATTGTGTCAAGTAAAATATTGGCTGAGATCAGTTGGATTAAGTTAGGTCTCTATCACTGTACGAAACCCATCAAATGAAACTGAGTCCAAATCTCAGTCAGCAGGTGTTGTATTCGACTAGTGTTTTCAAGTTTCACATCGTTTTGGACTCTTAAATTAATGACTTCAATTTTCACATGGTAGGAACAACGGGAGGGTCTAGGCTTTCAATTCGATAATATCTACCCTGTTATGAAAGCAGATACTTTTATTCATTCTTGTTTTTGATTATCTGCAGGTGGATCAAAGGTACAGGCAGTATCATCACCAGATGCAGATTGTGATTTCCTCGTTTGAGCAAGCAGCAGGCATTGGTTCTGCTAAGACATATACAGCCCTTGCGCTGAAAACAATCTCCAAGCAGTTTAGGTGCTTGAAGGATGCAATAACAGGTCAAATTAAAGCTGCAAACAAAAGCTTAGGTGAGGAGGATTGCATGGGAGGAAAGATTGAAGGTTCAAGGCTCAAATTTGTCGATCATCACCTTAGGCAACAACGTGCACTTCAGCAGTTGGGAATGATCCAGCACAATGCTTGGAGACCCCAGAGAGGATTGCCTGAAAGATCAGTTTCAGTTCTCCGTGCTTGGCTCTTCGAACACTTTCTCCACCCGTAAGCATTTTTTGCCCTTTCCTATTGATGACTAGTTTCATGTGGATAATTGTAGTTGTTTTACATGATCCAACAAAAATTCCTGAATTCTAGTTTTTGGTCCGTTTTATTCATTTCTGATTTGTGAACCTTTCATGTTTCAGCTATCCCAAGGATTCAGACAAGCACATGCTCGCAAAACAAACAGGACTCACTAGGAGCCAGGTATGAACAATCTCCTGCATTTTTTAGCATTTCAATCGCAGCTGCGGGAATTCTTATATTGTGTGTCTGCTACTGCACAGGTGTCTAATTGGTTCATAAACGCTCGAGTTCGACTTTGGAAGCCGATGGTAGAAGAAATGTACACGGAGGAAATTAAGGAACAAGAACAGGATGGATCAGAGGACAAAACAAGCAAGAGTGATCACAATGAAGATTCTGCTTCTCGGTCAGTTCTTCAAGAGAAAGGTTCAGCAAGCGAAAATCAAACTAGAAATTTCAAATCCTTGGACAATTCACCAGATGCTCCTTCTGCGATATCAATGCCGACAGCTTCAACATCTCCTGTTGGAGGAAATGTCCGAAACCAGTCTGGGTTTTCCTTCATAGGATCATCAGAGTTAGAAGGGATCACACAAAGGAGCCCAAAGAAACGAAGAAGCAATGATTTGATACAGTCCTCAACTAGTGTGCCATCCATAAACATGGACATCAAGCCTGGTGAGGCAAATAATGAGCAGGTTTCTGTAAAATTCGGCAGTGAGAGGCAGAGTAGGGATGGCTACTCATTCATGGGAGGTCAAACCAACTTCATTGGAGGTTTTGGGCAGTACCCAATTGGTGAAATTGGGAGGTTTGATGGCGAGCAGTTTACACCAAGGTTTTCTGGCAATGGTGTTTCTCTCTCTCTCGGGTTACCACATTGTGAAAACCTCTCCTTATCAGGCACTCACCAAACTTTTCTTCCTAACCAAAACATTCAACTGGGAAGAAGAGTAGAAATTGGCGAGGCGAATGAGTTTGGAGCCATTAACACATCCACGCCTCACTCTTCAACTGCATACGACAGCATCGACATGCAGAACCGAAAGAGGTTTATAGCACAGCTGTTGCCAGACTTTGTGGCCTGATATATTAGGAAAACGAGGTGGAGGCTTCAGGATCTCTTTTCACTATTTGTTGCTGTTCCATCTATAACTAAGGAACAATGAAAATGCATGGTAGTGTAAAGAAAGAAGAAAACTCACTTTAGTATAGGTCTACACTTTGAGTTCTTAGACAGTTTAGGATTTAAGATTATATAGCTGAGATTGTATATTATTTTTGTAAGTTTTGAATATGGATGATAGATGGCTTGGTGTCATAAGAGTTAGCTATTGGGGTATACCAATATAGTATATTGATTGTGAGCAATCCTGATGTCAGTGTGTATTTCATCAAATAAAGACAAGTATGTATGAACTGTGACGCTCAGTTGATTGCTAGCTACACACGGGATGTGAGATTTAAGAATGGGATGCTGCAGACCTCAGTAGCGATATTTTTCCTTAAAATCTACAGGTTAACATCATCTAGAAACCATACAGTGGAAGAAAACCACTTTTATATCTACTTTTACTGCTGTCAGGGGAGAGCTTTCTGGAGCATAAACATCATAGGTCTCATTCAAACAAAGTTTTCAAAGGTAAGTCAGGAGTGGTTGCAGAATATGATTTTCTGATGCTGGGAGTTTTGATAGCTAGACGAGGAACCCCAAAAGGCACTCTGCTAGAGAAAAGTCGGGATAAAAAAGTAGGCTGAAAAATAAAGTCAAAAGGAGCAAGAACACATGCAAAAATAACAGATCCAGACGGTCCAAAATCATATTACTCAATAGAAGAAGAAAAGTAACGAAACTATTGTTTATTAGGTAGAATTAGATAAGGCAATGGGGTGTACTGCAGATTTGTCTTTGTTTACAAGGATTGCTTCTTTGCCAAGGATACTGAATCGTCAACTACTACCCATAATTGTCCAAGACGGATGAGGTTTTCTCACATCACAAATTATATTATTTTGGTTATATTCTCCCAAAAAATATTTTCTTAGAAAGGTCGGTACTTGCCCTGAACTACTGGAGGCAATCGGCGAATAGCCTCATTACTTGGTTATTATTTTTGTACTCAAACCAAACCCTCAAAGAAATAATTCCAGATTTAAGGTTCGCCAAACTTCTTTCCATGGAAGAAGAGTTGGTGTTTTAAGAAGGAAAAACATGTAAATCAAATTAATGAAAGTGTTCTAAGATTGACAAAGCTTGAGTAAGGCCTTCATTTACAAAGTAATCTAGTAAATGATAAATAAACGGATGAAAATTGGCATGAGAAAATTGGAACATATGATAGCACAAGCCCTGGAGATTGTTTGAGAGTTTGATTACAATAGAATTAGTGGTAGTCACAATTATAGATTTACAATCAAACAGAATTCTATGTCTGAGAAAGCAATGTAAACTGTATTTTTAAAAAATTTTAAATTTATTTACTAAAAAATAATTTTTTTATATATTTTAAATTATTTTGATGTACAAATATTAAAAATATTATTTTAATATAAAAAATATTTTAAAAAATAACTATAGTTACATTCTAGGCTGTAAAATATAACTTCACTTTTGAATGATAAGCTAAAATACAGGGCACCTAGTTTAGGAGTCTCTTTTCAGTGAAACTTTATATCCTAATCTTTGCAAATGATAGAAAAATAAATTTTTTATTTTTTATTATAATTATTTTAACTCAAAAACTTAAGTAATTAAATAATATTTTAAAATATAATTTGTATTATTTTTTAATATACTCTTCCTAAATAAATTTTTTAAAACTTGAAATTTATACTGACTCAAAATACTTTATACAATTAATTTTATCAAATAAAATAGAAATTGATAAGATTTAAATTCATAATTGTTTAATTATAATTGTTTAATTAGTAAAATTTTAATATCATATTAAAAAATTATCCTAATTTAAAAATTAATATTTTAAATTTATAAATAAAATTTTAAAATTTAATTTATATTATTTAATAATTGTAGCGAAGCAACATCATGTATTTATGCCTAACAAAAAGTTGAAAAACAAATTATCAAAGTATGGCCCCGCCATGGCTGCCCAGTGTGTCTTCTAAACTTCTGTTGGCAACCTTGGACCTGTAACACCACACCTCAAATGCCTCAGTGAAGTCTGGATAACGAATATGCTCATTTCTTAACCATTCAGTCAAAATCTCTGCCTGGTCTTTTGATGGCAGCGCAAGAACTATTGAAACAAATGTGGATCTAAGGGCTGCCATAGCTCACTATCAATCGTGAGTTCTGGAGCATCCTCGGCATTGGTTGTGGCAGAATCAATTAATGCTTTGGTAACCATCACAAATGGATGCCAAAACCTTCACCAAGTGAAGCCGTTTTGCGGTAGGAAGAATAACAGTGCCATATCCTATTGCTTCTAAAACCTTCGCTGCCATCTCTACAACCTTCGACTGTCTCAATAATTTTGGCTTCTGAACTAGCTTGCTGAGCAACCTGAACTAGCTTCAATTATTGACAAATTCCTTAATGATTACCAACTTATTTAATATCTAGCAAGCCAATGACAAATCTGATAGATATGATTGAAAAGATTGCATTTTCTCTTTCTCATACGCTGATTCCACAGGATCACATAACAAAGCTTCTAACATATTGTTAAATCTGGCGAACAGTCCCTTCACACATTCTTTTGCTTCAAATTTGACCTCCTCATCAACTGTCAATAGAGGGGCATCATCATTCTCAGTCAGCTTGTTCCCATGCTGCTCTTGTGCAGAAGTTTTAAGATCATTCATGGGTGCAGGAGATAATGAAATGGCAAATTTAATATCTGACAGCTGATGGATTACTGGTTGGAAATGGGCCAGAATTGGTTGCGCTTTTGATCCCATGCATGGTATGATTTTTAGGATCTCCTCCTCCTCCTCAGCTTTCTCCCAGGGCATTGCTTCCAAGTAGTTCACACAAGCAGTAACAATTTGTAAAAATCTACAGCCAGATGCAGAATGCCAAGGGCATTCTTCACACCATGCCACAACCCACCCAAGGAATCATCTATAACAACACAGAAGTTGAAGAAAATTGACATGGGGATCAAAGTCTGACTCTTGGCAGTAAACTTCAACACAGCTCCATGAGTCAATGATCTGGCAAGTAGGCCAGTTCTCAGAATGGCTGTGAGCATACCAAGAAATTAGAATGACACCAAAACCAATCATCTCGGTCTTCCTGTGTTTGGTGTTAGACAACAACATGTCTGGTTGAGCAATCAGCAATCCTACCTAGCTCTTTCATGTAAGTAAATATTGAATCAACAGAAATCATAAACAGAGTTAAATTCATTGTACAACTTAAAAGAATCAGAAATAGCTGAGGGAATGAAACATAGCCATGATAGAAACAAATCAATTACAATCATTCAGAAGGATTACATGCATTATTTAACTATGGCAAGACAAATTCACGGAACCATACAACATCAGTGTGGTTCAATCAGATTGTCACTACAAGGAGGGATGGCGCACCTCTCAAAAGAAAATAACATAGCATTGGATTTTACCTCTTATATATTCTCATTGCACTGAATTTCAACACTTGATGTGACAGACTTGATTTAACCAAACTGATAGAATAGAACCTGAGTAACTTAAAGGAATTGCAGATTGAAATGATCTAAAACTTGATTAGTTGATCTCTAAGAGCATCATTAACTCAGTTGCATATATCAATCCTTTCAGTAAATAGAAAATGGTATAAATTAAATCCAAATAAGAGAATGGCTCGGCTCTCTGAAACTTAAATTGATCAAGATTCATTCAAACTTGAAACAAAAATATAAAAACATCATCTTTCCAAAGATAGACTTCGCAGCTCTAGTTTCATAGCTACTCGTTATTCATCTAAAGAAATTGAAGATTAAGAAAGGCCACGACATTATATCAAAACAGGCTATTATAAAACAACCCCGTATAATACATTTTCACCCTCAACTTTCAAAATCACATTTCAATTTATTTTCTCTAGCTATCCACTTGACCAAGTTTCTATCTTGTTCGCAGACTGACATGATCAACTATAAGCAAATTCTTGAGGTAATAATGAACAGAATTATTCGTGAGTGAAGAACCAGATATTAATGATCAGAATTACAAAGAAAAATAACAAGTTATCATAAAAAACCACACAACCTTTATTTTATTCCTTGTTTTCTTGATTTTCATTGAGAGATAACCTGCTAAAACTTCTGACTCTGCTCACTCTATCAAGGATACTTCGATTGCAAGTAACAAAGTGAGTGCATGAGAGTATTTTTTTTATTCTTAAATATATTAAAATAATATTTTTATTTTATTTTATTTTATTTTTTAAAATTATTTTTAATATCAATATATTAAAATAATATAAAATTTTAAACAAAAAAATATTCGAATTTTAAAAACTTAAAACGTGTTCTCAAACCATCTCGAAATCTATCAAGTATGGGTCAGCCTCGAAAGCTCAATATTTAAACTCTTGCTGGGTAAAATAGAAACAGGTGGATTTGGGCTTTTGGTTTGACTCCTCTTGCGCGAAAGAAGCTAATCCAACCGAAGTCTAGTCCACTCGGCGTGCCGCAGAGGTACTTTGTACTCTTATGGCGACATGCACGTAGAGACGAGTCATTTACCCAGGTATTTCTGTGGTATTTTCAAGTCTCAATTAAAGAATTTTACAAAGGAAAGTGTCATGCTGTCGATGTAATTTTCCCAACAAATATTTCGGCAGAACAACTCATTCCTAGTGTTCATTGATTAGTTCTGTAAAATGTGTCAAATCGCATGATAAAAACTGCTTTAGAAATGTACAGATTGTGGTCACCACCTGAGTTTTGCCTTCAAAATTCTGGGGGATTTCTGTGAGCATGGCTTCGGAACCCATCATGTGATGATAGATAACAAACATAGCATGCCTTATGCTTATAATGCTGACGATTTTGAAGACAGCTTCATCTTCCCTCCAGTAACACTCTTCTTCCTAGAAGAAAGGAGTTGACAATATAAAGAATCCCTGTAAAAGCTATCCTAAACACTTGTCAACATCTAGAATAAGTTAAAGTATTATTTATTTCATCCAACCATTTTATAATGTATCAAATTACATGGAAGAATTAGTGTATATCCTTTAAATTAACTAGTTATTATGCCATGGGTTGAATGGTTTATTTTTTTCATAAAAAAAATATTTGAATGTTGCTAATATAGTTTTTAAAATGTAAAATTTTAAACTATAAAAAAATTAATATAATATGATCTGATCAATTTAATAAATTCAAAGATAATCAAAATAATAATAAAAAATATAGTTTGATTAAAAAAATATAAAGACAATATATATCTTTTTTTTTAATATTAGATTAACTCAAATCAACTCGGGTTAACTGTCAAATTCATTACCCAGGTCATGAGACCCTAATAACATTATTAAAAAAAAATATTAAACACAATTCTTAATCTATCCAATGTTAAAGGATAAATTGAAAAAACAAAATACTCATTTAAAAAAGGAATAAAAAACCTGAGTCAAGCTGATTAACCCATAACCCTGTATATGAAATCATTATAATCTCATAAAAATCAAAATAAATAAATAAAATATAAAGTTTAATTCTTAATCAATTCAATATCTAATAACACAAATCAACCACGACTAATTTGCAAAATTAATAATTCAGGTTATAAGACTAAAAAAACTTCATGAAAAGAAAAGAAAAATAAATTATAAAGTTTAATACCTAGTAAAACTAATGTTGAACACTAATGTTGAACGATGATTTTTTTTTTTTAAATAAAGTTTGAAATAATAAAAAAAAACATTAAAAAATTTGAGAATCAAAACATAAAAGTATTTTTTTAGGACCAAATTATTAAATACCTTGGCATTTCACAATGAAATGCAAATGCAAATGACATATAGTATAAACTAGATAGATGGCAAGTACCTTATAGCCGCCAAGTTAATTATTTGCTAATATAAAAAATGATATTTATGTAATATCAATGTTTTAAAAAGAGTAAAAAAACTAATGAATTTGATATCTAAAAGAGATTACATATGTTGTTAGAGTAGTGACCCTCAAAGAAAAAAAATATTATAAAATGAACATCTCATACTTATTCTCATGCAATTAATTTAATCTAATTTTGAAAGAAATTTTTGATTAAAAACACTAGACTCAACAAAGGTCGGAAAAAAATCTAAGTTAACCCTTATTACTTTCAAAATTGCAAACAAATCTCATAAAAAAATAAAAAAAATATTGGTGAATAAAACAAAAAAAAAACTTAAAAATAATAAAGTAAGCCTAAGTGAACCTCGTAAACTAGATTTTTTAAACTCATGACTCATTAAATTTTAAATTTAAGCTCAACTAAGAAACTCAACACCTACTTAATTAAAAGATTAAATCAATAAATTAAATTAAATTAAAAAGGCTAAATTTAACAAAAACTAATAAAACCGAGACAATTCTTCAAGAAAACACAAATTTCATAGGATGTAAATAAAAATAATGTTATAAGAAGAAATCACAAAACAAATAACTTAAAAAAAGAAAAACAATTAAGTAAATTCGTGGGAATTTTGTAAACTCAGGTTTAACTTTCAAGTTTTCAATCAATTAAATTCTCAATTTAGTAGCTTTAAATTTAATTTAGTAGCTTTAAATTTTTATGGAATAAGTCATTTAGTTTAATTTAATTTTAAAATAGAATTCCTTAAAAAAGAGTTAAAAATAACAAAGGTAAAAAATACGACTAAAAATTCCCATGAATAGAAAGTGAGAAAAATAAAGCTTTTAAAAAAAAAAAGCAAGAAAGCCTGGTCAATTTTATAAACCAGAACTAATCATTTAAATCCGTGACATTAAAATATGTAGTCGAACTTAAATAAGAAACTAAACATGATTAAGCTCGCAGGTTTGGGCCTATAGATTTGTTCACAAACTATCATGTATATGAGTTAGCTCTTGTGAGGCCCACCCTCTTAAAGTTACTGTCAAACTTTTTTTTTTTTTTTTAAATCAAGATTCTTTATGGAAAAGGAGTAAATTGTTACGGAAAGACGTTTTCAAAATGCATAGCAGAAAAGTCTTGTTTTGAAGAAATAAAATGATGCAGAACAAGCATAAGTATTATTATTATTATTATTTTTAATACAAACATAAGCATTTAATTCACTTTTTTACATAATTGTAGTTGTTCTTTTTAAATAGCCAAAAATGGGTTAACTAGTGGAAACTTCTATATATTCATATTGTTCTAGTTGATGGATTGTTCTACTTTTTTTTTTTTTTCCTCAATGTTGTTTTTAAGGTTTTTTTAATAATTTTTTTAGGTTATTTTTAAACAGATTAAATCAACTTGATCATTTTATGACAATTTTTATATAATTTAATTTTAAAATTAAATTATATAAAGAGTTAAGAATTTTTTTTTTAATTTCATCATTTATTTTTTTTTTAATTTTTTAACCATTCAATCAACTTGCTTTTAAACTAAGTAAACCGATGGAATTATATTGGAAAAATTGTTTAACTTTAAACTTGAATAAAATAATTAAGAAGTTTGGTCAATTGCTTTTTTTGTGTCAACTTTTTTTTTTTAATTTATTATAATTTTTTTATTAATCAATCAAGTTAATTTTTAATTGAATAAATTAATTACATTACTTTTAATCCATACTCATACTATTTAATTTTAAAAAATCAAGCTAAATTTAATACTAATATCAACTAATTTTTTATAATCTCCGCATATTTGGTCATGTTAAAAACATAACTTGATTCGACCGACAGGTATCGTGGGCCAGGTGGTAATTAAAGCTATTGAAAGTGTTAAAAGGAGGTGGGGAAGGATGAGAGGATGAATAATTAAGCAGTGTCCCACTAGCAGGAAACAGACAAAACAAGAGGAGTTGGACGCCATGAGATTCAAAGTTTGTAAGAGATTCCACGACCAGCCGACGATTTAGGCCACACAAATCTGAGAGAATAGAATCAATCGAGCACGGATTGACTTGTAAAATGAGCATATCCATGCAGTTTCTCTTCTGCCCAGAGCCAAAGAACCTTAAAAAAAGAAAAGAAAAATGAACATGAATTAAATAATACGGATATAATATGGGAGGATATAGTAGCATCCACGGTTAAAAACATACTTTATTGATGTTATTATTATTATTTAATTAAAAAATAAAATAAATCTGAAAATAATTATTCAATCTATATAGGAAATTTGATTTGACTAGCCAATGGTTAA